TATATAGGCTATATATATATATATATAGGCTGCCAGCTATTCGGTCGTATCACAAAATAAATGAATCGAAAACAGGTAAGGTTGTTGAAGAAAGCTCCGTGAAGGATATGGCAAGGCACTCGACCAGTGTACAGAAACTAGTGGAACTGAGTGCCGGGTGAGTACAGCGAGAGTGCTGGAATACGATCCAATGCGAGAAGCAAGAAGACAAAAAAAATACTAACCTCCGACCTGCTACACATAATTATGTATGTATATATATCACACATATATTTTTTATATATTTATTTACATTTGTTTACTTATTTGTTTATTTAGTTATTTGCATAAAAGTAAGTCTCTCAATTGCAACTACGATTTTTAAATGTTTTATGACACTGTATTAATTTTAGAATGAGAGAAGTGGTGCTTCCTTGGCTCAAATGATTGTGGTCTGTTTTTAATGATAACATATGAGTATAAGATTGGTGAGGATGAAATTTCAGCTTGAAGACAGAAATAGCCGAGGAAATGGCATAGTCCTGTGTTTGAATATGTGATTATCCGAAACGATGATAAGAAAGAATTCTGCTAGTGTTAGTGCAGTGCTCGAGCACTAGAAAAGTTTGCTAATTAATGTTTGTTGTTTGCTTGGTAGATTAGATATATTTTCGCTCTCGGTCCATTAATTATTTGTTATTTCAGAGAAAAACTTTATCACTGCGAGCGTCCGTAACTTGTTTATGCATCCATGTGTACCGCTTACAATATCACTCCAAGGTACATGCATTCACTTTACAGTGCTATTCTTTGATTATATTAGTTTCGTATTTACATTGATAAGAACAGCTGGAATTTGACTTTCGTAAATGTAATAGAAAGATGATCAGTTAGCCAAGTCGTAGGGGTGCAGACAAGTCACTGAAGTTTTGCTGAATGCTTACTTTCTCTCAACTTTTTTGCTACATTCATTCTTTATAAATGAACTTGAAGAGATTTTTATTGCTAGAAATATCTTATTACCAAAAAATTTGGGTTGATTGATTACATCTTCTTCAACTTGCATTCAATATTCAATGTCAGCTGTCTCGTTATTTTTTCAGCAGAAATAAAAAAGACTTCTAAGAAACTTGATGAGTTTTAGTACTAATGATGTCATCATCAAAACTATTGTTTCTATTCTTTATTTAAATCTAAATTTGAAAATTCAAAAGTTTTTTCAAGAATAAACGATTAATATTATTAGTCATTGACTCTTGCCACTTTAATACTTGATCAAGTTTCAATAAATTTTATGCAAAAATATCAGAAAACTTCTGAGACACATAAAAATGAAGACTTTTTAAAATCAAATTTCAAGCTAGCTTTTATAGCTCTGTAGTTGGCTTTTTGTTTCAGTACTGCTACTGTTTATAAATTGTTTGGCGAAGAGTCGGTACAGATCGTAGCATACATTCTTTCTTGATTTTCGAGATCGCACATCACGTAAACGATCTTTTCGTTATTATTTTTTGGTCATTTCTTGTGAATACGTTTTAGCTCGCTTTTTTGTCATTGTAAGCTAAAGTTAAGGTCAAAAGCTAGATTGTTTGTTCGTGCTGAAAAGTGCCCATTAGATTTAAAGAGAAATTTACTCAGTAAGCAACTATCAGTAGTTTGTGTCGAAGTAGTGCACTCAGAAGATAATGCAAATGCTTTTAATTTTCACTGTTGACATAGATTAATTAATTCGCTCAATGAGGATAGATATGTGCTTCATTACCTTAGTCCATCTTAATGTAGCTATAACTTAGATATTAAATGCATTTTGTATTCCATTCTTCTCTGCAAAAATTTAATTGTCTTTTCAGTTTAGGCACTAAAGCTTTATTGTTTAAGCTAAGCGAAGAAAGAGAATTGACACTGTAATGAAGCCTTAGAAAAAAGCCAGTTATTTCAAAGATTTATTGCTTATACACAAAATTTCAAAGACTTGATTCTGATACTTTTCAGATGAACACCATATGCTCGCTATTACTTGCTTTTATCTCTTTCATCAGTTCAACAGTAATCACTCTCCAACAAAGTCCATTCTTACATCCTATTGTGTTAGGCAAGTAAAAATTTATCCATATTTTTCAATTCGCTATCAAACATTCTTATTTTGCCACAAATGGATACATTAGTGATTAAATTGTGACCAAATCAAATTTCAGTACCTGGTGATGGTGGATCACAACTTAAAGCAAAACTCACTGGGAAGCCTGAAGTTGTGCATTTTTGGTGCGCTCGAAGAACCGATAATTATTTTGATTTATGGCTTAATTTGAAATTATTTTTGCCGGCAGCGATAGGTTGTTGGATCGATAATATGAAGTAAAATAAGAATAAATTGATAAAGTGTTCACCATGAATAACTCTTAAGTGAAAGATAAATTTGTTTATGTAATTTGAGATTGCAATATAATATAACGACGAACGAGACAACTAATATGCCAGGTGTGCTGGTTCAGGTTCCGGGATTCGGAAATACAACGACAGTGGAATGGTTAGATGCCTCGAAAGCATCAGAAGGACGATATTTCTCGGATATTGTGGAAGCACTCGTACCACTTGGTTATCGTCGGGGTAAAAACATCGTAGGTGCACCATATGATTGGAGACGAGCTCCAAGTGAGCAGTTATACTAAGTACCTAATATTGTGCAGTTTTGAGAATTTGCTATTGTTAATACTTAGCAATTATTAAAGGGAATTTTTAAAACAATATTTCTTACTTGATAAACTTTTCAGAATCCATTTTGCAGAAAAATCAATGAAACTTTTTTCTTTATTTGATAGTATCTTTACAAGTAGCTTGAAAAATTAATTATTAAGTGATAATATTGACAACAATTTTGAGCATTTGTTGGTACTATAAAATGGCAGCATATGATTGCAGATGAGCTCCAAAGTTATTATGCAAATCTAAGGAAATTAATTGAGGAAACTTATTACTATAATGGTAACAAAAAAGTGGTAATTGTGGCACATAGTATGGGGAATCCCGTAATGCTGTATTTCTACAACAACTTAGTTAAGCAGGTTTGAAAAGCGGTTTCCGGTCACCTTTGCATTGTGCTTTTGTTTTTATAATTTCCTCAAGAGTTCTCTCTTGATTTATAAATTCAAAAATAATTTACTTGGAGCTTAAAAGATTGCCGATATGAGCAGTAAGTGCCATTTAAAAAAGTATTACTTTCGTCTGTGTTATCAAATAGAAATAATTAGCTGTGAAATCGGTCACATATGAGTTGCGTGTAACTTAGAGATTTAAGTCAGTCAAGAACAATTATTATTTTGAGGTGAGCTGTAAATTACCGAAATGATTTAGCAGATATCTCGAAATTGATTTTTTTCTCTTAATTATATTTGTCTTAAAAATTGGAGAATTTCGGTGAGTTGAGCTAAAGAGTAATGGGAAAAAAATGCTTCAAATTATAAGTTTACTGATTTCGTCTTCATCTTCATCATACTGAAATGAAATGAAAGAATAGGAATGGAAAGACAAATTCATACTTTCGCATGTTTCAATTTCTGGCGCTTGGGGCGGATCTATGCAGGTCATTCGTCTTCTCGCATCAGGTCAACAACACTATCAAACAAAAGCTTTCCAACCATATCAAACTTATTCGATAACACTTTTTCGTCAAGAATTCTAATAATTAGTTCTAGCAAAATTAGGTCTATCAAACATGCAATCGATCGTGAGCTTAAAATTGTCTACCACTATACAAAGGACGTTCTAAAAATACTTTAGAAACTATAAATTCAATGAGTTGAACATAATCATTGCAAAATTTTTTGATACTGATTTGCCAAGAGTTCATCTCCTGAGCAAATCAGTATCAAAAAAAAAATTGTACTGAGAAATTTGAGGGATAGAATCTGATGTGAATTTACAATATTTTTATGGTACAATAATTACTTAAAATGAGTTATGCTAGCATAGGGAGAATCTTTTTTGGTACTGATTCAGTTAAAAAGTTGAAGTATTTCAGGTTATAACATGAACCACTACAGAATTTTTTTGCCACCTAACGCTTTACGTACAATGCAACGATCATTTACCAGTTCGGCATTTCTTTTTCCGAGTTATAATATTTGGGATAAAGAAGAGGTATACTCAGTTGAAATATTTTGCAAATTTTGACCGCAAAATATGTAATATAAAATTACTATCCAACAATTTGGAAAATAGTTTAATTTTCGTAAATCGTCAACACTTTTAAAAATGCTTCTTTATGAATTTCTGATCGCAAAACAGTGTATTTTAGTTGGATAGTTATAAGAAAAGATACCTTACAGTTATTTTGTGTGTTATGTAGGTCTTAGTAAAAGTCGGCGATAAAAACTACACGTTACAAAATGTGGAAGAATTTTTCAACGATATCAAGTATGAAATCGGTTGGTACCAATACCAAAATACAGCTTTCTTACTAAAAGACTTGCACGCACCCAATGTTGAGGTGCTATTTTGTTTAACTAGCTTTCAAATTAACATAAGTAACAACTATATTATGTAAGAACTAATTTCAAAACATTATTAAACGACTTAAAAATAAAAAATTTTCTAAAATTTTTTTATCAATAAAAATTCTTGTGATGCATTTTATAGAAACGAAACTTTTTGGTAAATGATTTTTAGTGTTATCTTTCAGTTAGCAATCAAACCAAGATTGTATATGTCATGTTTATGTTTATGGTAGAAGTTTTGAGGTTCACTGCATTTATGGCTTTGGTATTGATACTCCAGAAAATTTCGAATGGTCTACTTGGTGGTTTCCTGATTATCAACCATCTACAAAATACGGTGATGGCGATGGAACTGTGAATCGACGTTCACTAGAAGCATGTAGAAAATGGGTTGACAAGAATGGTAACAAAAAGGTGCCAATTTAAGTCTATATCTATAAAAACAAACCCGTATCTAAAGCCGATTTCAGACAACTTATCATGGAATATGAGAAAGTGAAAACAACATGCAGTTTTTGAATAATTCATTTAAGAAATGGAATGAAACTATTCGCTTTTATATCTCATTTATCAAACTCCGCAATCTTTTTTGCTAGACCAAATTATTCAAAAACTGCATGTTGTTTTCACTTTCTCATATTTGAGCTCCACTGCATTATTTCATGAATACTGAGGATCTGAAAACTTATCGCTACTGGCAAATGTTTTTGGTCAAGAAAGGAATACGCCTGATGATATGTATTAATGATTACATTACAGGTGTCCTTATATGCTTTCGAAAGTGCCGAACATGTAAGCATTTTGGCGTGGGAAGAAGTAATTGAAATTATTAAATATACTGCTATTATGAACTATACAAAGTCATGACATTTCAATTTTTCGAGATAAAAATTACAATTCTCTCTTACAAAACCTAACACACTACCCTTGAGCTCATAAACATCTGAAATTATCAAATACCTCTCATACTGCTTGCTATACAGATTGTGATCTTCTATATTTCGTTAAGTGAATAAGTAGGTAATTATAAAATCCAAATTTTATTTATATACATTCACAACACGGTCAAGAACTTGTGTAGACTTTGTAGTATATTAATACAACGAAAAGAAAGAAATTCTCTAACTCTTTAATTAACATTAATTTATACCACATAATTTCAGAAGACTTCGACTTTTAAAGAGGTCGAAAACAGGGTGTGAACTGTGGTAATGTTAATTTTGCAGCCTTGAATCCTCATACATAAGCAATGAAATACCTTCGATGAGAATAGCTGACTGCTCGTCGAACTAAGTGACGTAATTTACCATTCTCGAAAACTTCACATTCAGCTAAGGAAGTAGTAACTAGTAAAGTACTACACTACATTGAACGTATACTTCTATCAACTGTTCTTACATTGCAACAAAAGTATTACAAATTCATCCTGTCAAAAATGCACCTTCATAAACAATCTAGTCTCTCTGCTCAGCGCTAGTTCATTTTCATTGAAGAGAAATTTGATAAAAGAAAAAGTTCGTATGAGAGCAAAGTAAATATTGGATTCGATGAATGGACAGAAATAATCCAACGAATAGAAACTTGAAACTACAAACTTAAATGAATTCTTAGAGATATTGATCGACCAATGACATACTGCACATTGAAACTAGAAAAAAGACGTAACGAAATTCAGAGTGGTTGAGGAATCAGTAAAATGAAGTGAAATAAAATATTTGTAATTGAAGCCTACTGATACAGAGAGTTCCTGCAAAACCTGGTCGCATATTGAACACAACTTGAGCTTTAAATACAATACATTAAGTAAGGTAATTTTTTGTAGAATAAAACGTGACATAGCCCCCGCACTTGTATGTAGTACATGCATCCTTGTAATCTCTACATAAATCACTCTTTTCATGAATACTAAAAAAGGTAAAGACAATTAGTGTGTAGCATCCAAGGGTTCGAATTTTCAGTGACCATGTAAGAGAACTGAAGACATACCATGACTGCTACACACCAATTTCCTTTACCGTTGATGAATTCGCAGTACCACATTGAAAAGCATTCAAGTACCAATGTTTGCAAGTCCCAGACAATTAAATCAAAAAGGAATATAAAAAATCACGTAATGCGTGTATAACCAGCCAATCTAATTATATCCCAATACAAAAGACGCTATGTTCTTGTAGCAAATGAATGAGTCCTATAAAAAATTTAAACATGTTCACAACAGTTGCAAAACAGACCTTTAAGTCATGGAGTTACTAGAAGAAAAGAAGTGATGTTAAACTCGGGTTAACCAATCTTACACCTGCCATAGCAAGCTTTGATTCAACGCAATAACCTCTAAAATTTGGTAACCTAACTTCTCAACTAATGTTATGATTTCAACATGTCATGTTGTGATAAATCGAATGAAAACGATCGCAGTTAAAAAAATCACTTCCGTGTTCGCAACGATAAAATAAATTAAAATTCAATTTTCATTACATATGAGGTTTAACAAGTCCACTTTGTCAAGCTGTTTTCTGAATTAGTGTTGCAGAAGGAAATATTATACTGATTTGCTAAGACCGTCTATCTATTTAATAAGAAATAGATACAATTTCAGACAAGGAAATGAATGTTCTCCTCCCATGATTGTATTAGGTCTAAAAATCAACCCTCCCACAGAACATAAGAGACATGAAATGTCTTTCTGATGAGCAAAGATTCATTCTGCTCAATTTTCCAAATGCATTTACTAGTATTTTGACTGATGATTTGATCATAGAAGAAGAATTTCTAGATTACAGAGAAGCAGTGATAACAAAAATAATATAACTGTTCCTGAAATTGCTTGAATTATACTAAAGAAAGTTTAGCAAACAAAAAAGCACCATATTATAAACACTGTTCATGTCGTTTCTGACCTCCTGTTTTTTATTACTCACGTACTCATCAAGCAGATTATCAGTCACACATCACTTTCATCAAACACAATGCCTAATTCAAGTAATAATCAAAAACAATTAAAAATATCTGGAATAATTACTTTATGTGTTTTGGATTCTGTAGTCGCAAACTATTTATGCTTAATTACAGTATTAGACGCAATACATCACCCAAATATTCAACACCAATTGGAACAGCTTCAGCATATGGATTCGACGTGCATGCATCAAAAAGACTGCAATCCTTATCAGTATCGAAAGAAATAAAATTTTTAAAAATGTCTCCAACTTCAGGATAATGCTTTATGAACCACCAGAATAAAATTTCGGGATTTAGAGAGGCAGCTTTTGGGCTGACCATATAAGAGCACAAGTTCGCCACCTGAAAAGTGATCCGAAAATGAAGTGAAGTTATCTAACCAAAAACAGAAAAAAGACTATGTATTCTTTCAAAAGAGCATAATTTACAAATCCCTTCTCTAAGGTTGTTTCAGCAACATAACATGCTAAATATTTAAATATAATTAATAACAATAAAATGCATAACATAGCAAATTAAAATACTAACTTTTTCTCTAACTGCTTCATTTTCATTTTTCAGTAATAAAACGATCAATTTTCTCAACTTCGTATTAAGATTTCCTGCAAATCCGTATTCTGACTGTGAAAAGTACATGTGTAAACAACCTCAAAAACAAAAAATACCCTTTTTCAAAATAAGTTCTGTAGCTGAAACAGCAATCCTCTGAACTTCTTTATCTTCGTTCATAGCACAGTTATACAGCCAATCGAAATCCAATTTTTCATAACAAAATTTTGTAAAAACTAGGTTCGCCAAATTTCGACTGTATTGCCCACCAAAAAGGAAGAACTTTTAATGCATTAAGGATTTAAAATAATGATAAATAATATTAATAAATCTTAAGTGATATAAATATTTAAAGCTTTCAAAGATGTCTCCAACTTCAGGACCATGCTTCATAAACCGCCAAAATAAAATTTCGGATTTAGAGAGGCAGCTTTCAGGCCGACTATATAAAAACACAAAACAGGATTAGATAACTATGAGGAATTTCAATTAAGCACTGAAAGCATTGATTTCCTAATTATTTATCAGATTCCAAACTTTTTTACCTCAACTTTTCAAATTCTTTGAACAAACCATCTAGAAAACAAGCTCCAACAGTTTCTTCTGCTAAGTTGTTCAAAAACAAATTCAGAATCTGCAAAAGCAGTTGTTTACTGCTTTGTATTGAAAACAATTACCAACGGAAAACTGAAATCTTAACAAATGTGCTCTTCCTTATTAAATTAACGCTTTACGCAATGCTCCATGTATGGTCCTGCATTCTGAAAGTCTCTGATAGCTAGCTGCATCACTTTTTCACCGATTTTTTTTGCATCTGACTTCGAAATTCTTCGCCAAAATTCAAGACGTAAGCTCTTATTTTTCATTAAGAGGTTCAAGAGTTCAGTAGGAACTTCTTTTCCTAAAATAATCAATTATACCACGACCGTCTTGATCACTGGTTATTATATATATATTATAAGAAGTCAACAAAGATATTTAAAATAAGCATAACTTCGATTTTTTCAGCAATCCATTTGGTTAAAGGCCTGAAAACTAGCACTGCGTCAACAGTAATAAATTCTCGAATAGATCCCATCGGTAATACATATTTAATATTACGAAGTAGTGTCAGATATAAAAACTGATTGTAATCACAACTGAAAGAAATCTGATACCAAAAAGACATAGATATGCAGTAACTCTCCTCAACTATATACCAACTGAAGTTCATTCAGCTAGCAAACTAAAGAAAATGGAATTCAACAAGAAGACTTATTTTCATCCTTTACTATATTTTACAAATTGATGGATCAAAACCAGAAAAATAAATCTCATTAAAAACTTAGAACTAAAATATACCATATTTTAGAAATTTTGCTCTCTTCGAATTTCATTATTATTGCAGTTAGTGAATTTTGTAATTTATGACCTTCAAACGCAATAGCAAATTCATTCAACTGCAACTTAATAACTTGGTTATAAAAATTACTGAGAAGGTTGAAACCAATAATAAGGAAGGTAGATAATTATAAACGTATGGTTTTTTGTAGTACAAGAATAAATATACAATGCAAATGAAGTACCATCAGTAAGACTGTACAAAGTGCATTCTGACTTAAAGAGGTGTAATCAGTATCGGAGATCCATTGTAGTAGAAAGTGTACATCCTGAGTAATAATAATATTATGATTCAGCTTTTTCAATTAATGTGGAGTACTGTTAACTACTTTTAATGAAGTCTATGTATGAAGAGAATTTGTAACAGACAGTTTTTTCTCAAAATCGAAGGCTAAGCCAAATTTTCCCATAACATATCTCTCAATTTTTACCAGATGCTTTGAAGTATAAGAATTTGCTTTTTACTCCTTAAAAAAAAGAACACAAATGATACTTCCGTACTTGAATTTCACAAACAGCGGCAAGAGCAGCTGCAGCTAATTCTCGTAGTTTCATTGAATAACAAGAACGTAAAAATTCTAACAACGGCAAAATATATATACTGAGCGAATAACTGCTCCCGTGTCGAGGAGAGGGGAAAATATGAGTGAGAAGAATGAAGACAGCGGACATCCTCAATTTTGAGGCAGAATTTTTGTATTCATAAAACTGCTGATATAGCGAATCATAAAAGGAAGGAAATCTGCAAATTCGTTCCACTTATTCAGCTCTGCATTACTTTCAATACATCAAAATGATTCATCGCACATTGTAATTATTTAATTTCTGTTCCTATTAGAAAGAAATATTGTAATAGAGAAAGTATTCATTGACATATGTTTCATGCTAATGATAACAAATAATGATAAAAAGATTAAGAAAAATACTGGAATATATTAAAGTTTGCTTTAATGAGATTACCTGGTAAAAAACTCGAATGAAGATAGACAGTTTTTTTGATGAGGATGAAGTGAGTGTTGTACAATGCGAGGAACACCAAAAATTCGAGTTATCATGGCAGCAAATAACTGTGACGCAGCACTTCTTACTGCCCAAGAACGAGAACCAAGAGAAGTGAAACAAACGTTCAGAGTTGGTTCCATGAAACATAAAACTTGTTCCGATAGACGACTATCCGAAAAAATAGCCCTCATAATATTCATACAATGGAATCTGAAATAATCAAAATTAAAAATAGAGATATTAAGCAAAAAACTACCTTTCTTTACTGCCTAGTAAATCAAATGTTTTAATTTGCTTAAAAACCTAACAGTGTTTTATAGGATTTCCCATTAGCTTCCAGCAAAGATAACATCGTTTTCTTGAAGCAATTAGCATTGCTGGCTTTCGGCTCCATTGATAGAATTGAAACTACTAAGTAGGGTAAACCAGCACTTCGACGCATTGAACAAAATATGTCTGAAGTGCCAATTTTATGCATTATGATGCTTGTGTTTCTCTTATTTAAACAATCTCATTTCATTTAGAAAACACCGACTTGATCTAAGGACCTTGTAGGTATTATATGAGAACGGAGCAGCCTGAAAAACTGCATTTTCCATAGACTTTCTGAAAACAGTGACCTCATTCACTTACCTAAACTAAACAACGTATAATGCACACCTAGATGTATCTATAATTTGTAACAGGGAGCTAGAAACTACCACAAAGCTAACTTTTCTCCTTGTTTAGTAAACTGATGATTTTTTCTGACCAAGCTTCAGGCTTAGGAAAATCCTTGAATTTGATATCGCCCATAAATCGAAACGACCAAAGCTTCATACAAAGCGTTTCAAATCCTTGTACTGCTGTTTCGACTGCACCACAATGTTTGCATTCCGTTAATTGTTGCCAGTAATAATCGCTTATACGATGGACTGTATTCGCAGAAAGCATAACATTTCCCAGTAACTAAAAAAGAAGGTATAGAAAAATTTTGAAAGGACAAAATAAAAAGTGCATAACTTATTTCCCAAGCATTTATTATTTGCGTATGAAAGGGTATCAAAGGTTTTACATGTCAGCAGAATGTATTCTGCTTCGGTTATGTACGATAATTATGAAAGAATTAATTTAAAAAAAAGATTCATTGGCTTATTAGCTCATATAAAAACCAATAAGACAAAAAGCACATAAACGCATTACCTTAGTTATTATTATGTTCAGTATTGAAGAAACGTATCTATGTGAACGCCAGCAACTCACCAGTAGAATCTGACAAAAATCCGTACTTTCTTTTAAATCTTCGAAGTTTTTCATGTTTGCTAAAAAATGGATTTACTTAACTGATAAAATTATGCCTTTATTCTGAAACATTTAAATAAGATCCATTTCACAGTTAAATGCTCAAACGAATAGCTCAAAAGAATTCCGAAAATGGACAACTTACAGATCATATGCATGCTATCTTCAAGAACAAAGCCTTCAGGTGACATACTATTTACAACCGGAGCAACTAATTTACTTATCGTGAAACACATCGGCAATAAAATGTCATCAATTAACTGAACACACCAATCGTTTCCAGATCTAATAGAAATTTATGATCAAGAAGGATATAAATAAGATTAAAAAGATGATAGAGTGAAAACTGTCCTTCCTAGCAAAAATGCTTACGCAGAAGAGTGAAAATCCATGAGTTCCAATATCACACTGAGTGAATTGAGAATAGAATAAACAAATCCCTGCTTAGAAGCTATGATTTTTAGATTTTGTGAGATAAGCTCCACTCGATTCTTGCACATTTCAAGCAGGTATTCTAAAATTTCCCTTACTTTAGAATTGTTACTCCGAAGATAGAACTGAAGGCGATAACCTGATGTGAGAGTAAAAAGCGATCGAATGGAGAGCATCTTCTCCTTGGTATCTATCCAGTAAGAATCAAAATCCTGAAAAATCTGCCACACTACTTAAAATAGCAAAGAAATCGAATAGCTCCTCTACTGACAGGCTTTAGCATTGGAACAAATTTCGCGAACCACTCCTCTACTTCAGCTTTATTTTTACCACACAATAAATCTTTTTTAACAAGTAACCTGCATGCTTGAAATTTAAAATTTCGATTAAATTCTTTTGCACCACTGTTTTTTGAACTAAAAAAGTTTGTTTAGATGAATTTCATATTTTTATTAATTTAATATTATAAGAGAAATTTTCATTCAGTGTCTAGTCCCGATAACAGTTTCCAGTTAATTTTTTAATAACTCTATGACTATATTTCAAATTGGGGGAATTAAGAGAATAAAGTTTCATCAGACAAGAAACTTTGTCGAACTAAAAATAATAGTAATTAGAATAATGAATTAGATTATGTGTGCTACAAATGAAGAACTTACGAAATTACGAATTTTGAAAAATGGTGAAAGAAGCAAACGCAAAGCTGATATTTGACAAAGCTCGTACGAATCATCCAAGCAACGTACAACGCAATATATATTTTCATTTGATGGCTTAAGTTTTGCAGAGACGAATCTCCAAAATAAATCTAAAATTTTATAAAATTCATAATAGACTTTTACAAAATTTAAGAAAACATTCCAATTAATTTGAACACTTAACATGTAAGAACGTCACTCCTTTGACATTTAAGAGACAAGCTAACTTTGTTAACAAAAATATAGACGGTATGAATTTCTATTTGGTTTAAACTGAATCGAGGAGCAGAGCATAATACTGACAGTATGAAAATTTTATGGTTTCTCCGAATGAACCGGGTTTTAAAAGAGTTTCAGAATATCAAATGTTCAAAACTAGAAAATGCCACTAAAATGTAATCTTTAAGAAGCATTTTGTGATCAATCCCTTTGTTATTAATTTCGAGAAAAAAAAAGAAAAAATCTGCATGAGAATTCAAAGTTTGTTAAAAAATAGCTGTTCTTATGAAAATCCAAAGTTCAGAACCTTTGTACTCGTTCGCTAAATGATTTCCCAAAAAAACATATTCAAGGATTTTGAGAGCCATCATACGCCTGCTAAAATTAGCATACTTTCCAAGGTTTTTGAAACACAAATCAAGCAACGTGCAAATGAAATCAACATGAGCATCCAACTCACTATCACTGTTATTTTTCAATAATATCTGGCCACTTTCCCGTATTCGAATTAGGAGCTGAATAAAAGTCAGAGAATTCTAATAATGATTGAGTAACAAAATATGTATTTATTTTTGCAGTAAATATAGAAAGCATCATTTCGTTTTTTTTCTTTCAAAAATCGTCAAAAAAAGTAAGTTTTCTAGGTTGTAATAAATTTATACAAAAATTTTACATTTTTTATTGGAAAATCATGAATTTTTAGCTTAATTTGTTATAAATTAAATGTTAGCTACAACGAAAATTTTATATTTCCGATATTCAGTTGAGAGAAAAGATTTTTCGGGATGAGGAAGACTTACTTTTTTTAAACCATATAATATTGTCAGTCTGACTGCAGGTGATTGTTCTGCCATATTTGTAGCCAGAAATATTTTACATAATGATAAATGACGACTAGAAATTGACGCTGTCGGCTTGGGGTGATAGCAAATCAAATTCCAAGCCATCAGACGTACCTAAGCATAGACTTTATAAATAACTGACCAAAATCCAGAAATAACAACACATTATTAAAGTCTAATTATTACAACTATTTTTAAACCAAATTGCTTACTATTACTATTCGTTTAAATTTCAAATTCGCTTAGTTTTCATCAAAATTAAGCTTTTACTTTATATTTATTTTGAAGCTTTTAACGAATTAATTTATTGTATTATAATCAGATTGATTTGTTTCAAATGTTAATTATATTAACTTTGATATGAAATTTGCATTGCAAATTATTATATTACTTTCATGTATGCAATCAGGAATATATGTATATATATTTGAATTCATAAAAAGCACTAATTTAATGTAATTAATAATGTGACTGATATTTTACATAAAAGCATGATTTTGTGGTCTGTTCATTACAATCACTGAAATAAAAAAGAAAGGAAAAATTTTATATTTTATAGATGTTTTAACAAGAGTATGGTATTGGTATGTGAAAATTTTTTTTTAATCGAACAGGCAGTTTGTATACCTGTAATGAACAGATGTGTTCAATAACAGTCACGTACTCTTGTTTTGAATATGCGTAAGAAACAAAGAAAAAAAAAATCCTTATTTTGAAAACAGTAATGAATTACACTTTCCAGAATAGAGCAGATATCAACTACTTTTTGCGAACTAAATTAATTTTTACACAGAATAAATGAATGAATTTAAGATATTACGTCTATAACATTTATATGAAAATCAAAAATAATTGTAAACCAAAATATTTACCTCTGAATTAGCATTCAGCAAACCTAAAACCATCACATTTTCGTTTATAAAAGACGTCCAATCCAAAACATTTCCATTACTTTTTTGATGTGAAACACAGAATTTACCAATATAAAGAGATACTTCAAGGCCAACAGTATCTTTCGTGCATTCTATAACCCGAGATATGTCTTATACGAACAATTAAAGACTTACATTACTTTGTCGTTGATCCATTGAACCGTAAACAAAAATTTTATCAGATATAATCTACATATTTCGATGAAAGATCACCGCGCAAAAATTTTAAATACTACTATGATTTACATAAGATGTCAATAACTAAAAGCAGATTAACTCGACGAAGAAGTAAAATTTTATAATATGCGACCTGAAACATATTTGACTGAATTTCAATTCATTCTTCGCCTTCTCAATTTCACAAAAGATTTGCAAACCAAGCCAAACCTTCTAGGAACTGCTTCAACTCTCTGACTACCCAGTCTGAAAGAAGAATGTTTCTTGAGAAAGTATATAATAATCGTTCTTGAATAGTACTGCGAATTGTCCTTATTGGTGACTGAAGTGCCGAACGGATCAACTGCTGATGAAATCGACGACGTTCGATATTATCGAAATTTTTGACAAGATCAAAAGTGATGAGTTCACATACCTGCAACGAAAGACTAAACCAAAAAATAGCTAGTTGAGTCCATTCAAAAAATATAACGTAGTTGTACATTGAATAAATTTATTATACAAATTATACATCTAATAAAAAGAACCAAAGACAATTCTGAGAAAAATTACAAAATTGAAGAAAAATAAAAGCTGTCTTACCACAGTAACTAAAGCTGGATTAGATAGTAATGCATATAATTTTTCACAAAAGCTATTTGTAAAGCCACGAAAGGAAGAAATCATTATCTTGTGGTATGCTAACTGAAAAAAAATATTTATCAACTTTGGTGGGAATTAAAGCGCTTTATTTGCCACACACCTCAAAAAATTACAAATTTTAAAAATTTTTTATAAAAACTTAAATTCAGTACTATCACATACTAGAATATGTTTGTAGCTGATATTTTCAATGAAAACATATTAATAAAATTGAACTATTATAGCATACAATGCATCTATATCGACTGCGGCAGCACGAGGATGAATCAAGCAAAAATTTCTCAATATTTTTAGCCCACTGCGACTGAAAGCTCGCTGATGCATTTTTTACTTGATGTAATTGTATGAGGGACTCAAAGATAGTGACACAGTCGTGGCATACAGCTTCTGATACATAATCCCAAAATCTGTAGACAAATTCGAACACCATATCTTCCTGATATACTCTCAATGCCAATCCCTTTTCACTGCAATACATTTAAGTCATGAATGATATTTAACAAAAACAACTTTTAGTCAAGTCTCTGAATGAGAAGTTTGCAATCAGTTTCGAGAATTAGCGTAAAAACAGCACTCGCCTTAGTACAATCATCAGCCTCGCCAGTATTTTCGAAACATCCGACATCACACTTGTATTACTAGCATATCTAAAAATGTTTTTATATCCTACCGTAACAAATCGGGAAATTCTGCCAATACAACATTCTTAGCACGTTTTTACATCGTCAAAATACTAAAATTTTTGTAACGCCGATGGCAATACAAATTCAAGACTATATCTACAATTTGGATTTTCTCACAGAAAGATAGAAAAAAATAGCATCTAAGAATATAAACTGCATGCAGTTGACTTAAATTAAACTTTTTTTCACGTTAAATGTTGAATTTGAATAAATATCAAAATTGCAAATAAAGTAACCTTTGAGAAATATGTAATACCGCCGGAAGGCAAGCATCTACCAAGAAACATTGATGTTTGCAACAACATGACTCAAACCAATCTTTAGTAGGTTTTCGAAATAAGAAAGCAAAATACTCTTGATCAGAACAATCCAGAAGATTACATTTCATGATGCATCCAATATTTATTCCGTAACAGTCTTACGATTAGTGACGATTACTCACTTAAAGCTTGCAACATAAGAAAAAAGTTCAATTACACACTTCCTTCAATTCATGTATGTTATTCAGTTGCAACACGTCAGTTCGTCATGGAAAAAGCAGCTATTCATTCTTGCATACTGACTTATCTTAAAGAGTTTCTATTCTTTCTGACGGTGTGACATCAGATGAAAAAGGGCTTCTAACTTTATAAGAAGTATTCTAAAATGAAAACTCGCATTATTTGAAAAGGTCACGTTACTATATGATGTAAAGTTGCCTTTCTTCATGGCCTAGTCAAAAATTTTACATTAATCATACCACCATCAAATCTAACTTACATGACGTCTTTTTATATCAAATGATAATAAAAATGAAACTGATAAAATCTCCGCACGAACTAATTAAATTCCCAACAAAACCATATGTAATGCAAGCTTCCTGTTCAAGCATTACTTTTATAACGGGCCGTACTTTTACATTTGTGACCAATGACCAATGGAAAAAAAGACTTGAATTTGCAGTACTCTGAACGTTCTCTGGATTTTTAGTCTCATGGTCCTGCTAAAGTAAGTCCTGCTTTTAATGAAAATCTTGGATTCTGAGATGTGCCAGTCGCAATTATTGACTAGTTCAAAGACTTTCACGTACTATTGTGAAGTGTATATACAAGTATTCATGGAATAATTGTGAGAAAATACCGTGAAGTATACCTGCGAATTCATGATTTATGTTGTTCAATGACCTAACTTTATCACCAAATCAGGATGTTGTTCGTGAACGTCTGAAATACGCTTAACCTATCATTTATTCTGCAGAAATAAAATGACTAGTTTGCCTCGCATGAATATAATCGTTGCTGTTGACGACTGTGGCGGAATTGGCCGAAATGGTAAGTTACCTTGGCGTTTACCTCAAGAAATGGCTCGATTCAGCAAGTTGACCTCGACAACTGTTGATAGAAGAAAGATAAATGCAGTAATAATGGGACGCAAAGTTTGGCAGAGTATACCAGCTAAATTCAGACCTTTAAAGAATCGCCTAAATGTTGTTTTAAGCCGTACGGTACTTTTTTTCTTTACTGTCCGATGGTATCAGCTAGATTGAAGTGACATACAAATCTTGTTTATTTAGCTTCAGTCTTTAATTTCTGCTACATCATGTGTTTTAAGCATGCTGTAGTACTGTACTGAAATTAGAAAAAACGGCCTGACGTAGTTTTTATGGAACTACTAAAATATCATAAAGTTCTGTACATTGGTTCTCACAGGCAGAGGAAAAATTGAGAGATTTGTTTTACCAGTTTATAAATTATGCTGTGCCTTGAGGTTTCGTTACATTCTTAAGCTTTGTGGTTCTGAATTCCTGAGGCTGTTAGTAGCAAGTCGTGTATTGCATTTCATGCCTTGTATAATGCATTTCGAGCTTTGTTTCTAAGACTTTAACTATAAGAGTATTAATCATGATGATTTTCATCAAAATTAGTCACTTATACTGATAGTAGGAAACTCCTCCATACCTAAATTTTCACGATATTTCTAACAGTAGTGATGAATTTGTAATTATCAAATTTTTGTCTGTTTTAGTCCACTTTATTGATATTTTAGTAATCAGATAAGAGCATCGGTTCGACTCTGTTTTGAGTCTTGTTTTGAATAGCTTTTTATAGATGGAAACGGTTGCGGACGAAAATGTTGTACTGGCTCGAAGCTTCGAGAATGCAACAAAAATGTTGCAAAGCATGGAAGACATTGAAACTATATGGAATATTGGTGGTCGAGAAGTTTACAGTTTAGGACTACAATCACCTATACTGCACCAGGCAAATTTATTTTTTAAAAATACCGTTTCGTCTTTCAGATTAAGTTTATTGAAGTTTGTCCTCAATGTGAATCACATTTGAACCTTTTAAATGATAATTAATAAAAGATGTACGATGAAATTTAATTCTTTTAACTGAAATCAGGCAAGTGACGAAATTCTTGCAGCTATATATTACTCGAGTTGAGGGCGACTTCTCAGCCGATGTATTTTTCCCTTCACTGAATTACATCCGGTTTACCAAAGATGAAAGCTCGGAAATGCATACAGAAAATGGCATCAATTATCGATATGAAATCTATACAATTAAAACAAACGATGTTTCAATTTCGTGAATGTCTGAATGTAATTATATTTAGCTAACTGAATATTTTTGAGCCGAGTTTCTCTTATAATTTCGTTTTGCTATTATATCACGGGTTTGTCTACTCAACGAGAAATTGTGATAGATTACAATTATTAAAACTCTGACATTCTATATTTCACGTAAAATACTACGGAATCAGTATCCCAGCTTACTGCTTAAACACGTCCTGCAACTGAGGTCACACCAACTTTCTTTATATTGACTTTGTTTTTACTACGCATCTCATTCAAAATTAGCACGGCATTTCGACGTCTGTTTTTTGAGAAACTTGTCAATAATATACTGAATATCTTTTTTTCACTTGTTCACAATCAGTACAAAATCTGATTATGTATTAAAGGTAAAATCTCACGCTGTTTTGTAAAGAGCCTTCATCATTGTGTGCTAATTATTTATTTTTTATAACCGCCATTACAATTGCCTCATTTTGCTACTCCATTATTGTGTTATATAGATTATAAACTGGTTTTATGTACTGAAATGTGTCTAGTTCCAAGATCACAACAGTGTGAAAACACTTGAGGGTAACAGCAGAGCAGAGAACGTAGCTACAACTTTTAAAAAATGTAGTAGAGGGTTGCCTGTTGGATCAATAGTATGCGGAGCAACAAGCTACAGTATAACTCCTTTAATGTTTCCTTATTACGTAGACTTTTGCAAGATTTCCTATATAATTTGGGAACATAAAGATCTCGCAATAAACAGTGGATGTCTTCTGAGGTTACGTAAGCTCTAGAATGCGTACGTGCACGTAATACGAGCTTCAAAAGCTAATAGCATAACTTATGGGTGGCATGGGGGGAAGCACTATAGAAAAAAGAACATAGTACCCATTAAATATAGAAGAACCACGCCAATCATTTCAGGGTGTATTGGACGTTTGGATAAGATTAATCATCGTAGTTCGATTTCTATGAGGGCACCAGTATGCTACTGCACTGTCCCAATCATTAGCATTAATATTCTCAAGTCACAAAGTAGAAATGGTATATTTCTCTGATGTTGGATTTGTGAGTCATTGATGGAAGTCAGTGAAGTGATTTAAAATGTATTCAGAAACATCAGATCAAAGTTGGTAAATTTGTACAGTAATTACAATGAATTTTCTTCTAGTTATTGCAGTTTGTTTGCGCTGGTTTCTAGTGGAAATGGTGGGTAGAAAGAAGCGCAGCAGCAGTACTAGAAATCATTTTGGTGAGGTAAATGTAGGTTTCATGTACTTTTATAAGGTTTCTGAACACTTTTACAGGATGGAGTATCACATTAAAAATTCTATACCTTTGATATTTAGTTGTTTCATATTCTAAAATAAATATAGCTTGTATACAATTACATCGTTTTTTCTTAATTGTAGAGTTAGAGTTCTTTGCATGGTCAGGATAATTAAATAAGTTATTGGGAGGTCAAATTTTTCAATGGCAGGTTCAAATTTCCGGTTATGCATATTTAAGTATGCAAATGCTTTGTAGAAACTGTAATAATGAGTGTTCACTTTAAAGTCAGAATTTACTTTCACTGATATATTAAGATTTGTTTTAATAACTTTGGATATTTAAAATTCGTCACTATTATACATATTTGTTCTCATGTGCATTTAGATTTTTTTAGTATATTTTAAATATGAAGTGGAAGCATAATTATTGAAAGCTACGAATGTTTAAAATTCATGATGTTTTATATTTGTATGATGCTCAAAATCGTAAAGATCGTCTTCATAGTTTTATAAAGGTCACAATCACTATTCTTTAGATAATTTTTTGTGTTTTATGAATAGCTGCATGACTAAAAGTTACTAGATTGTACACCATGGAGCTGGAGATTTTGCACAGAATAGCACTTATCGCGATTTTTCGAGTGTTAATAACGGGTGTCGTAACGGAAACATTGTGGAGTCTGGGTGTTCACCAATAACAACAACATTTAATCGAAAATTAAAGCAATATAACAATCATTCTAATCATAAGAATCAGAAGAATATGATCAACACCAGTGCTGTGGTAAATTCCATTAAGATGCATTGGTGTATTATGTACGGCTCAAAAATGTAGTTTTTGGGGAAATATTTTTAGTCTACAAAGGTAGTGTTAAAGACTGTGGTAGAGCAGAAGCGAGCCATTTCACTTGTACTTGTTATTTTTATGTATATAACTTTTTTTACGCATCTGTAGTTATGTAACATTGTGGTAGAAAAGGATTTGTATCTGTAAAGTTTTGTCGCAATTTTTATTTTAGGTAAATATGAACGAAAATTTTGTCGCAAGGGGCATGAGTCGAGAAACAGGATCAGCATCAGGGGGCAGTGTTATCTCTTGTGATGTAGATGAGGACGAAAGTTTATCAGCATCTGGTCAAGAAGTTGATTCTGCTGGCTTTCGCTTTGTTAAAAAATGTAGTGTAGCGCTAATGACCGAAAAAGAAAGCACTTGCTCAGTGGGTACGCAAACAAGTATGTTTTCTTTCAAATATGCTCGCTTACTGCTGTGTTCTTTATGTCATTACCAATATGAATGTGTTCATTAAATTTATCATTGATTAAAAAATCAGTTATATATTCATTCTTTATCATGTAGCTGCGTCTTATTTAACAGTTTATGAGCATATAACGTATATTTTAAGCTGAAGATATGGATTCAGATTTATTATTATCTCTATGTAGTGCAAAGTGCTGGCAACGAATTCATATTATTGCGGAAGCAATTCAATGCTTAAATGCTTATGAGCAAAGGTTAGTCACTGCAGACTGTCTGAGTAGTTGTGGGATCTTTATTGACTTAAACTTGTCATTTATATTTCCGTTTAATTCTTTAGACAGTTTCTTACATCATGCATTCTACAGCTTTATTCACAGATACATAGCAACATGCGTTGAAGCATTATTGCGTGCGAAATCATTATATATGAGGCACTGTGAATTAAAGTACAACAGTGTTGATTTCTTACAAAATTCAATTGCAACAGCATCTTGTAGTCAGCTTCAAGAGCTTGCGTTTCCAGTATTGTGCCTCTTGCATTCAACAAATCGTTCGGCAGCAGCTGCTTACATGGGGTTTGTTGAACTTTATTTCAGTAGATATTTCACTGTCTTAAAAAACATATTTAATATTCTATTAATTTTTTGCATAATACTTGAAAAGTTGGATGCATGATAAAATAAACAAATACATAATATTATAGATTGATAGAACGATTATTTGAGGAACTTATTTGTGCATCAGTTCAAAAACAACCTTTCGAAAAACAAGAGTTAATGGATTTGGTTCGGTTTTTCGAAAAATTTATAAATCAAAAAGTTTTTAAGAACCACTGGTATCATGTTAAGGAAATCAATGTTTTAATGTAGAAAAAGTTCGTGTGATTTATAATGCATTCGCTTGCTATACATGAAAAGCAACATTAATGCAGAAAGATATGGGTTTACAGACATTTTAATATAATTTAGTAAGAATTTCCTCTTATTAATTAGTTATCCATTTTCAAATCTGAAATAAATTCTTGTTTATAAATAGTTGCGTTTGACGGTTTCGGCTGCACAGCATCATGCAGCATTTTCTGTGGATCATAAAATCAGTCTTGCAAAAATTCAAACTGATCTGGACAATCTGTTACCCACTACGAACGAAAACCAACGGGTATTTTGCAGAAATCAATTATTTTTGTCTCGCGTAATTGCTGTTGTGATTAATTTTTCTTCAATTTTTTAATGATTGTGAGCAATTTTTTTTATTGCTGTTAAATTGCCTAGTATTCATCGTTCGAAATTGTGCAGTAATGCATTGTATTTCATGTAGTATTACAATGGAAGTATGCCAGTTCGTATTTGCAATTTAGTATATACATTTTTTCAGAATTGGGAAGCATCTACATCTGAGAGTGACTCTGATGTACCCATCGTTATATCTAGACTAGAGGCTCATATTTCGAATGAAGATTCTTCACCAAATATATTTTCAATCGCAGTATAATATTTAAGCTACTCGTATTATGATAAGAGCTTATTAATTAGAACGCATATTTTTCCTAAAAGTTCATCATATTAATTGTTAAAATTAGTTTTTAGACTTTAATGTAGTCCTTTTATTATATTTGTGATATAAATAGAAGATCTCATATAATGATTTGCCCTTATTTTCAGATTGAATGGAGTGATCTAAAAACTTCGTATATTGTCAGAACTGCGGATCAGATCGCTGATTTGCACAATCGATTATTGGATAGTTTCCCAAGTGAGGCAGGAGCGTTAACGGGAAATCCTCGTGTTCTTCCATATCTAAATCGTTCACAACCTGGCTCTATTTTGGGTTACATTCGGTATTTTATTTCTTTGAAAGTAGATAATACAAATTATCATTTTCTTACTAATTTGATGCATTTTACATCAAATTGTTGTATTTCAGTGATTCAGTTATTCTTTTAATGTCGTGTTCTTGTAATAGTACCCAATATCTATCGATCATTTTATATTGATGGCACAGTACAGTATTGTTTGCAGTGCACTGCCAGATCTTCCAGCTCGTGTATTGGTATGCCCAATAGTACGTGATTTCTTTTATCCATCTCGATTAGAAAGCTCATCACTTTCATCAATTCCTCAATCATTATTATCACAATCGCTGTCTTCCTTTAATGATTTAAAGGTTTATATTCTTCCAGACATTTTGAAAGGAATAAGGAGTCCTTTGGAAAGATACACTTGATTGGAAGCCATTTTTTGCACTTTAAATTTAGTAAATTGAGAAGCGCTGTAATTTTGCCTTTAACATGAGTTGAATTCAGTACTCATTTGTACTTTCAGCTTATCTTTCGATAAATGTTTTTATAAAGTGATTTTCTTCATGTTCTTGTCTGATAAATTTAGAAATAATTTTTTTTTCTGAATAAAATTATAAAATAAAAATGAGCAAAAATTTTAATTTGCAAAAATTTGCAGAAGCCTACAGCATATAGGCAGACCAAGTCATCGTCTAATCTGTCAGTACCCGAAGTATCTGTTTGTTATCATCCTTCGTTACCAGTTACAACAGGTTCTGTTGGAGTGATGAATTGCACGAGCGTAGTTTGCCCACCATTTTCTCTCGCAAGTGTACCTCCTCCACCACGTAGTCATCTAGTATCACTGGCAGCAACACGACAGTATTCTCTAATGTCTACAACTACAAGTGTTCCGACTTATCCATCATTTATCTCACTACCTCCTAATCCTAATGGATTTTTTTGTTGTAATTGCTCTGGTCCCCATCAGTTTGCTTATTGTACTCAACCAACAATGTTACAAATTATCGCAAGTGGTAAATTTTAAAAAATATTATATTAAGAAAGTAAACTTAGAGTTAGATTCATTTTTGTTGATTTAAAATTGCACTTTGAAAATGGAAAAAATCTACGATTTAGAAATCAGTCAGTGAAAAATTTTATCAATTTTGTAGTGTGTGTGTGTTTTTTTAATATTTTATATTAAAAAATTTCCAATGAAACTGTCGATTATTTAATTAAGCGGTAGTTGCAAATTCTAAAAGTGCAAAATATTGATTGTCAGTAGTACATGTCAAGTTCTATTCTTTCTTACATTGTTTTAGACACAAAATAAGCCTACCGATATTTGTTAACATTAAACTTGGCAATTAATTAATTTTATATATTAGGCTCTAACAAACTTGCAGGTGAATATAGAATTGATTATTCCAATGTTACAACAAATTCCAGCATATTGCCACTCGATGTAACGAATAATATATTAGTCACAAGTTCTCTTTCACCTACAAGGATAAAATTTTCTACACCACCACCAGTTCCAAACTCGCGTTAATACATACAGTTATATATTTTATTTCAAAAGTACACAAGTTCTAATTAAGTGCCTTTTAATTTATTCTTAAAAAAGATTGTTAGTTGTTTTCTCAGTTTTGAAGTTCTCGTCTTGCAGTGAAAGGAATTAGATATAAAGTAGTATTTTCTTTTCGTGCTGATTACTTTATTGTTTGCATTAATCATTCAGACTTGTTAGTTTATTTGGTGAGACATTGAAATTCTTGACTGTGTTAACAGTCTCGTGTTCCTTTTTGTTTTTCGCATTCTGGTTATAGATAGCTTTTAATAGTGCGGTGAAGTGAAATATTGGTAGTATTGAGCTTTTTAAATTTTACAGTTTCTTGAATCAGCGAGTAATTTTTTGTTGTTGCCTATTTGCTCATTAATTAAGTTTATCTAGAATATGTCATGTTGATTATTGGGTGGCTGAGTGCATGATAACTCGGCAAATTAGTTTTAGATTTGTGATGACTTAGTATATGGGTATATTGCGATAAGTGGTAAAACGAAGACTATTAGTTTTCATGTGTGAGCGCGATGCTTTTTATACGGTATGTCTTAGTTATTGTAAGGATCTTACCATTAGAAGCCTGCTCTCTTTTGTATTATGTTTATAATTAGTATTTATACCATCATGGAAAACATCACCAAGGACTTCATATGCCCTTGAAAATCTTATTTCTAGCATATCACTGATACAGTGGTTCTGTTTGTCTTTACAATTTCGTCTTCTTACATTGTAAAATATGTTATGTTGATCGCTGGATAGTTTAATGCAAGATTTTTTAGGGTATAGAATTTGATGAAATCAACTACCATAATAATGTTCCTTACTTTAAATTTAAGGCAGTAGATATCAGAGCAAGGGTGGTCTGTGTGGTTTTATAAATCATGAAGTTATAATACTTTATTTATATATCTATTTTCTCATTACATATTCAGCGATACAGTGAATTTCTAATCGCTGTACTTCAATTCGGGACAGTGTTTGGCGTTACTTTATTTATTGTCAAAGTGGTATATTGTACTTTTCTTCAACGTCCATCAGTATTAGGCTTTTTGCAAAATATCAGCCAAAATTTGCTTACATGCAGCTCCGTGTGATGACTATATTTATACCATTTCTTACTTGCACCAGTGCTCATTATGTGAATTACTTCCTTTTATTTCATTATTTATTGATTTTTTGTGGTGTTGTATTTTAGATGATATATAGTAATATTTCTCTTTGCTATTAACATTCTAGCTGATATTTGCTAATCTTTCTCTTTGCTGTGTTGTTGGTCTGTTAAACAGCTCAAGAATGTAAGTATGCTTCGAAAAAATGTGTGAAAGTAAGAAAATAAACACAATGCTTTGGTATCAGCAACGTAAATTACTTTTGTGAACAAACTATTGTGTCAATTTTATGTATGTGAAGTGTTATGGTAATAATTTCTATCCATGCTTTGTCATATCAAAGTTAGGATTTTTGTGACCAGGTTTGGATGTCATCCATATGCATATTATTCACGTCATATTTCCTGAATTATTTCCAATATTCAGTTCGTTATTTAACTGCATCTTCTCGGTAAGCATGATGTGATTCACGCATGTTTTTGCTGCAATTTATTTCTCGCCTTCAGATGCTTTCATGCAGAAATGAAATCGTGGAAATTTGTGTAGTATTTGTTGCGTATTCCAAATCTGACTTAAGCTTATGTAAATCAAATATACTGCTTTAAAGTTACCATCAAAACACGACGATGCTTTAAGTACCATTTCTAGTACTTAATAACTGAAGTATTATTTTCATATATACCATAAATACAATAACAATTATTACGAAGCATAATTCAAAAAATAATGAAATATTAATAGTAAGCAGTACTGAAAATGAGTTTTTGAGCATTGAAAACCGTAAAACCACTTGTGAAACATTTGCTGGCATTTAATGGTCGTGTAGATCAGGTTTATCACTTCGTTGGAATGAGAGCTCTTGTTGGCACATGTTTTCAGAATACGGTTATTATTTAAAGTAAATGCTAAAGAACGCGCCGCAAATATGGGTAGTGAATTTTTCTCACCTGATCAGTAAGAAAGAAGTGGTGTTCAGAAAAATGGAATACTTAAAGAAATTATTTGTATTGCTTGGTTTTTCCTTTCAGTTCGTGACTATCGCTGCTACTGATTAGTATAAGAATTGATAGTTCCCACCGCAGGTAATACCACACCATCTAACCACTTTCATATTTAATTCATGAAAAGAAGGCATGAGTCTAGTCCTCAGTATGGTAGGGATGTACAGGACGGTCTTGCTCTTGCAAGAATCTGAATATTATCGGTCAGTACTGGAGTCTTATAGTCAGGAGCTAAATTTTGTTTGTATTCACGCTATGTCTCGCTTAAAAATTCCAGTAAGGAATGTTCATTCACAATATATAAAATGATACATGGGCATATATACAGCTGTTTCCATCTTAGATTATCAAAAGCCCTTTAATATTGTCAGTGTATATTATGCCTAATATAATGTGTGAAAATAGATCCAACAATTTCTTCCTGACATATGACGATCTCAAAATTGTTAAAATAAAACTTATTCAATTTAAGTACATTTTTGTGTAAAAGTATACGAACTAGCCCAATTGTTGAAAGGTACCTTGTTGTTGGTAGTGCCTCGATCTGAGAATTGAAGCTTATATAGTCTTGAAATGAAAAACATACTAGACATTTTAGCCTAAGAAATAAAATATAATAATCATTTACTACGGCAATAGTAGTTTTTGTAGTGTAATTTTCTGGAAGTTCATTTTGCCACTGTGAGTCATAATTCCAGTTATATGGAAAACAATAAACTTGACTGAAACAAGCAGCTTTGTTGGTCTTATATTAGATATTGGAAAGGTTTAGAATGATAACAGATTCCTGAACCCTAACAGAGTTCCAGATTCCAATGTCATGATGTTAAATGTTTGAATGAAGTCATGAAAATGTACGGTACACAAGCAAGTATCTCTTTTTAACTCAATGATAACTTCTGCCATGTACCTGATGAAGTTGGAGCTGACTTATGCATAGAATACATGCACTGACAAAAGAATTAAAACTCGCTGCTCACGTCAGTAAACCGATCGGTTTTTCTTCGAAGATCCATTACTTAACGGTAATATTATTGACATGTCAGTTTATTACGACTTCTTTCACTTTTTTGTAAACTCCTCCAGTTTAATCGCGCTACGTCACTTTCAAGGAAAGCTGGAGAGAATATAGGCGTGATGCATTAAATCGATGCTATTTCTCTGCATACTTCAGTAATCTTTTTCTTTGGGAGTACATTTTCTGATCTCTGAGATGTGTGTTTTTAAAGATCTCAAAACGGCATTGATCGTCTCGTCTTGACTACATATCTGAGACGTATATACGTATACTATCTCCTCCATATCACTACTTTCCTCATCGCAAGTGCAAAGTTCTTCCGAGTTCATAACCACAAGTTCCGAGAAGAATTGTGCAGTGGAGACGATACTCACACTATCACATTATTGTTCGCTCATCGCTCACCTCGGCAGACTGGTCTATTGTGTCTGCTGTTCCAGTCTTCTCGACCTCGCACCGTGGATCAGAACCTCACTTTGTTTGTGATATGTGGTGTTTGGTATTTGTAGAAAATTTTTCATTTCTGTTATTCAGATATGAAAAAGTTTTTCATTGCCTTGAGGTTAGTTAGGTAGTGTTTAACTAGTGGTCAGTGGCTGTTTTATGTAGTTTGTTGTGGGGACCGGAGTGTGCTGAGAAATGTGGCCTCTAGATAGGAACGGAGAGCAAAAATTCTAGGGCCTAGCCTCAGAACAATAGTCATTAGGTGGCACAAAATTTGTTCTGCCGAGCGTAGTTATGAAATTTGTGTTAGCAGTTTAGTTTTCCCAAATTGTTGAGAAAAGAGGCATTCCGCGGATATGCCAGCTCCTTAATAAGTCCCTGCGATCTTTTGTGATTTTAAAATGGAGTAACTGGATGTGCCAGCTCCTAACTTGAGAGACTCGCGGCGTGACGCTTTCTTCATCACTCCATCACAGTAGGGTGATTCTAGAACAGTTTTGTGCTACCCTTTGATTATTGCTAGGTTAGTAAAGGTTTAGGATTTCTTATGTAGAGTTCTTTACCTAATTTCTTGATTGTTACTCTGGTCCTTACTGCTGCATTGTACGATTATTTTTGTTCTTGTTTGTGATGTAGTTGTTGTTATCAATAAGATTTTGAAGAGTGAAAGGGAGATGAAAATATTAGAAAAAATGGAAAAAATAAAAGAGCAGAAATGTGAAAAAAGTGGAAAGTCGAAAAAAAAGCTAAAATAATGGTTTGACTAGCTCTCCCAATGTATTTTGTGGTTTATCGTATATGATTTGTGTTGTTAGTGGTTGTCATAATTATGTAGTTTTTGTTTTTGTTTTGTAAAGTCTTTTCATTGTAAAGTTTCGTTTTCCATGTCTGCATTGTTAATCTCTGTGCTTTTATAAAAGTTTTGTGTAATCTAATTTGTCCTGTACTGCATACATTTATTTTAGCATGCTTTTTCTTATACTGTTCGCACTTACTTGCAATTTGTTGCTGGCACTCCACGAAGGATGTGCAGTGTCGATTGTCTGTTACTAAGAGATATATTTTTTTACTGTTTTCACTAAGATTTTCTGGTTAGCCTTTTATTTTTTCATCCATATCAACTGCGTCTCCAAACCAACTTCATTACAAGCCTGCTAGTATGGCAGTTAACAAGCAGTATTTCAGTTAATATCAACGGCGAATGGCGAAGGCGTTTAGGTCAATGATAAAAACGTGTAGCAGAAAGGATGGAAATGCTTGAAGGCCTAAAGTATCTCTGGTAGAAATTATGTAGTCGATGACTGGTCGTAGGAAAATTAAAAACTTTACTTGAAGACTCTTGATTTCTCTAGCACCAGTCATCTATCCTTTGTTCAATAACTCTGTTTTAGAACCGTTTGCGTTAAACTTTGGAAGATGGATATAGAACGAAAATGAGGGTAAGATTGTGTTTGTTCCTAAGACGGGACTACCCCGGAACTAATAAATCTATTTTTTTTTAAATTACGAAATATTTTTAAATTACGTTACATTTAGTCAACTTTTCTATCCCCTATATACATCGAACTCCAAAGCCAAGTTTGACAGGTATTTCAAATATGTAAAAACTATAGGAATTATGGGTCTTGAGTAAACCACTAACCATATCTGCATCTTCTAACTAATACTGCGTATTAAGATAACAATAGTAAAATTATAGTTCGTAATGTAACTAGGAAACAAACAGGTAAAACCATAACTGAAATAGATGTTTGTCTAGTCTCGCATGCGTGTGTAGTCCTTCGGACGTCGGTTGTATCCCAGATGTTTGTATGGTACTGTGTGAGTTCCTCGCATGTTTGTTTTGTCTTAAGAATTTATGTGGAGTCCTTCAGGTGGATGTGTAGCCTTCCGGATATGTGTGTTGTCAATCAATGATAATTATTACCTATTAATTAATAATATATTGATTATTAAATTGTATATATCATTGGAACTTTTTAAAATCATTGTTGTCCTAGTTTCTAATAGATATTTTTTATTACGAGGAATTCTTTCTGTTGTTCATGTCGTCATAGTGTGTAATTTTGCTACCAAGCAGCTCGCTGCTCTGTGTTTAATGTTTGATTAAAGTTGCATATAATGCCTTGTAAATAATTAGTTTTGAAGTGAATAATTTATCTTACAGTTTTTGGCTATTAAAATTTGCTTGTCATTTTTTTTCGTCTCAAAAGGGTCTTGGATCTGATTCACTTCACTAAAAACGTTTATATTATTATGATTAATATGCAATTACCTGCAATCTCTTCGAACAAAAAATAATGTGTTATCGTTACTGATAGAATGTGAGCAGTAGCGTGATTTAAAAAATTATGTTATTTTCAATAACTTTGTCAATATTGTTCTTGTTTATTGTTTATTGGCTAATCGTGAAATACATCTGAGAATGTATTGATCAAGCATACTATCGAACGTTTTCACAATTTCATTTATTTAAAATTCTTAAGAGTAGTAATAGTACATCTGAATTACCCTCATTATTTTACCGATATTTCGATTAATTGATAAATTTCGATGTAAAGGCATATATTTGTATATAATTTATATTTATCGCGTTATTGTATACGATTGTTACTTAAGTTTTCCAATTACTATGACTGCTCAGGACCATCATTTCTACTTTGATAACTCCTGATGCTGGAGTAGGTTCTTGTTAAAATCAATGTTTTCAAAATTCTTCCCTGCTTCATATATTTCCGACTTGTAACAGAGCAGTAACTTTTTTTCACCTTATTATCGTTAATTCATTCCCATCCTGTTATGAAAACTAAATTTGACTCGTCCAACTTTAGTGCCAATCATTACTTGAGCTACAAAGAAAAAATTCTTACTAAAGCCTCAAGTGATCAATATAAATATCGCTAAAAGAGACAGAATATTCATTAAATTCCATGTGTATTCAGTCACTAGCGACAGCGCGCAATCTTCCAATAACTGGATCTCGACATCATAGTCACCACAAAAATTACACTACTCCTAAAATCTACATTCAACTACGCTCACAGAAAACTAAATTATTTCTATATTTCTATGTAATATCAAATAATCTCGAATCCTTTATTTGAAACTGGTACCAACTGCAATAACGATTTCAATAATTTGCCACCATGTTCCGAAACAATGTAATTTAATAAAGGTATGTCCAAAAAAATTTTTTTCAAAGCAACAGAAACGGATATATATATATATACCAAACAGAAAGATTCAATAAAAAAAAATACGACAAGCTTGCCATCTGCATCGCTGAACAACAGTTAACGTAGTATTTGCTGTCACATTAACTTACAACCCGAACACACAAAATTTTATAGTCTAATGTCACTTTATGGCTTACGACCATTCAACTGCTCAAATAACCCACTCTGTGATAAACACAAAATATAGGAGGACTGTCCTTTAAAATTCTTGACTACTACTAGTAATCTGAGCGGATTTACAAAAGTTTCCGATAGCAACAGTACTGTGTTTAAAGTACGTTTATAACAGCAAATAAACTTCCTCCTGTGTACAACATTAAAAAGAATAAAGTGATGAATCTTTTTTAATGAATATCACACAGGTGCCACTACTCAACTCCAAAATTTCACATCAGTGTTTATTTAATCTTATCAATGGCAATATCTTGTCTACAAGTGATTTAAAAATTATATTAAAATGAAAATGTGCTAGAATCTCGAAACAAATCTTAAAAACTAATAAAATATTTCAAGTTTAAAACAGGTGAACAAACAATAACAAAGACAAAGGAACTTATTTGAGATCAGAAACATCAATTTGTGGATGCTTCCCTTTCTTCATATATTCCTCAAGTTCCTTGTCTAGCTCCTCTCTGGTAACTGACCGCTTAGTACGGTAAAAACCATTACTAGCAAAACGACCACCGGGTCCGCGAAAATTACGAGACACAGAGGTATTTTGGCGCCAAAGTGTTTGGTTCATGTTATTTCGTATAAAACGCGTGTTTTTGCTTGCATATCGCAATGAACCAAAAGGACGTGGCCTAAAATTCACTTTGAATATAACAGTGCAATATATTAAAAAAAATCAAAATCCAGCAGTGAAATAATGTCAAAAATGTGCGTATGAGCATAGTTTGTTGAAGTTTTCACTTACTGTATTAATAGAAATTTTCCTCAGTAGCATAAACCTAATAACTATACTTGTGCAAGATTTCGAACTATATTAGCTAACAGCAGTCATTGTTCACGCACTTTTTTTTAAGTTTTCACACCTCTTCATTTTATCTGCCG